GAGAGAGAGAGAGAGAGAGAGAGAGATAGAGAGAGAGAGAGAGAGATATATATAGAGAGAGATATATATATATATATATATATATATATATATCAAATTGTGGTGCATCAGAAACTGTATTTTTGCACAAAACGAGTACAAACTAGAGAACATTCGACGGAATCTAATTGATTTTGTTGAATTTGACACCATAAGGGTGGAGATATAAGAAGATTCATAGTTGAGGGGTAGATGTAATTATCCAAACATCAAGGATTTTTTCATAATTTAACCATACCTATAGGGGTTGTTGTAATTTACCCTAAAAAGTAAAACAAGTAAAAAATATATTTTTTAAACCTCCAAACTTCAATATATATATTTTGAATCTTCAAATAAATAAACTAAAAAAAAATAGAATTGACCAAAAATAGAAGGGCAAATTAGGGCCATGGCCAAATTATGAAAAACAAACTCTCTTGTTTGGTTAATTACGGCCAGCCTCCTTCTTTTAAATATTTTTCCATAAAATTTATATAATTCGGTTATTGTCAAACCAAATCGTATATTCAGTTCGGTAAACGGTATGAAATGTTGGTGTATCGAAATTTCGATTCGGTTTTATCGATTTAACATCCTTAAATTTACCTCTGAAGGGGTATTTTCATAATATTATATATATGTGAGAGGTTGTTGTAATTATTCAAACATGAGGAATGTTTTCATAATTTGACCATAACTCAGGGGTGACCGTAGTTTAACCAAAATAGAAAGTTGGAGAATTATAAGAGGAGAGAGAGTGGATATGAACAAGTAAAAGGTCAAACAGTAGAGAAGGGGCTCACGGCTGGGGACTGCAGCATGCGGGCAAGGAGTGGGGGTGGAGAAAGTGGATACTTTAATATGGAAAGATCAAATTAGGGTTATTCACTCACCCAATCGAATCGTACTGAATCAAAAATTTGGTACGTGCCAAATATCGAATCGAAAATTTGGTTCGGTATTCGGTATTGTTTTTGAATTCCGATATTCAGTTCGGTATTCGATATTGATATATGGGCGGTATACCGCCTGTACTGAATACCGAAATATTTAATGTATATTTGTTTTTTTTCTTTTACTTTAAATCCTTCAAGATTACAATAAATTATAAAATACTTATAAATAGATATTTTTTCCATTATTTACAATTAGCCTCTATTGATTATCACTTTTTGTTTTTTAGGGTCGATTGTTGAAATTTGCATGTCAAATTCAAGAAGGGTAAATTACAACCACCCTCCGAGATATGGTCAAATTACGAAACCACCCCTCAACTATAAATCTTCTTACATGACCACTCTTGCAGTTTCAAATTTAGTGGAATCTTTGAGATTATATGGAATATTATTACTTTTGTACCCGTTTATCCCTTTCTAACTCCATATTTTGAAACAAGATGATCATAATATGCGTTTTTTGGCTTGTATATAACAGATTGTGGTGTATCAGAAACTGTATTTTACACAAAAAAGTATAAACTAGAGCACATTCAACGAAATCTAGATGATTATGTTGAATTTGACACCATAAGGGTGGAGGTGTAAGAAAAAAAATCATAATTGAGGGGGTTAGATGTAATTATCCAAACAAGAGGGGTTTGTTCATTAATTGACCATACCTTAGGGTGGTGGTTGTAATTTACCATTCGAGAATTAACTAGTTTAAATATTTTTACTACATTTTGTAAAATAAGAAAATATTTTTCGATTTTACTGATATCAAACCGAAAAAATCAAATTAATTCAGTAAAGAAGGTTACCGAACCGAATAGTATGATTCGATAAACAGTACAAATTTTTGAAGTACCGAAATTCCGATACGGTTTAGTACGATTTTACCGAATGAATACCCGTACTCAAGAGATAATCACTGAGTTGAAATAATATTAGGGACTAATAGTGGTGGGTAAGGTGGAGATGGGGTTATATGTTTTGATGTCTTTTAAAAAAAATGCCATCACTAAGAGTGCATGTTCAAATTGTCTTTTTTTTTTTTACTCACATCATCAAATTTGTTCAAAATCCTAGCCTATAGTTAATGATGTAAACTTTATAAAGTCAAAAGAAATTTACAAAAGGTAGACTTGGTTGTAATTACTAATTAGCCCTAAATAGTTTTGGGATTCACACATATACTCTAACACGCGGAAACTCCAATTTCATACCGTTTCCGCATTTTTGACACATTTTGTTACCGACACTCAAGGACGTACACCCGTCAGATACATTATGGGTCATTTTGCAATTTTTAAAAAGTTAGAAACATGTTTGACTAGAAAATTTCATATGTTTTTATTGCTTCACTGATTATTCACATCGTTTATAGTTGATAGTAAAATTTATTTTGAATATGTTTGTATAAAAATATATAAAAAGAAATCTATATATAAACACTACTAGAAAACTAGCTTTTAGTGACTCTATAATATGACGCTTTAAAAATACCGTCCCAAAAACTACTCTATTGGGACGCTGGAAGTTAAGACAGTAAAACAAGTGGAATATTGTATTTTTAATTTATTTTATTAATTTCCAAAAATTATCAAATACGACGATTTAATATAAAATGTCACAATAGACTGGTTATGTATTACTTTGTTAATCAATTACCGTCAAATGCCCTATTAAATTATTAAAGAACTTATTTACCCATTTATTTTTAAATTATTCATCTCCCCTCATCGAGATGCAGAACACTTAAAACCAGTTTTTTCCCCTATCTTCTCATCTCAAAACCTAGACTCACAATTAGACAGCGATTTTTCTCTTTTAACTATGGTTATGTGTGCCGCGGAATTGATTCTTGACGAAGTATCTTCGTATGAATCTCAGAAACGGTAAACCTAGTTTTCATGTTAGGATTTTTTTTTTCCTTTTAAAAAATTGGATATGGATTTTTGTTGAATCGTCAAATTATTGCTTGTTCTCTTTTACCCATAGCTACACACTAGCAGAGCGAAGGTATGGAGGAAAATCTGGGAAGATAATTTCAATTTTGATTCAATGGAAAGAAGAAAGCTTAAACATGGTAAAGCCTTTTTCTCTCTGTCTCTCTCTCCGATAAGTCATAATATAATTATTTTTCCTGCCCTTCTTTATGTTTTTTTTCCAAAATATATAATAGATTGAATAATCGGATTAAAATCCAAGAATTTATTGGAGTGCAATTGCAATCAAATTATCTTATAATATTAGCTTTGTGTTGAGCAGATTATTCCGAGGCTTTGATGTTGAACAACTAAAGGTTAGTTTTTCTGGAGTTCTATATGAAATTTAGAGGGTTTGATTTGTATGTCTTTGAAGAGATTTTTTTTATTGCTATATGGAATTTTGCCACGGTACTTTGTATGTATACTTATAACTAATGATGGATAATCTGGTACTAAAGTTTTTGTAGAGTAACTTACATCTATCAGTACGTGTTCTTATATCAAAATCTTGCATCTAAATTGTGAAGTGTTGAAATTTTATACTTTTTTCTTTAGACAATGTGCTATCAAATTATATGTATAACTTCTGATGGTCCTATTGAATTTGATAGGTCCCTTAATGCAAAAGAAATATGAATATTTTGATATCCATTTAGAAAAGCTGCAAATCTTGAGCGTTCTTGCGAAGTTGTAAACCACTTTCTCATGTTTATGATCTCCTTGTTGGATTATCAACAACTTTCAATTGTAATTTACACTACTTTCATATTGAGGCAAAGTTTGGTTTATTTATTATAAACACAAATTTCAGGTTGAAGCATTGTTGGGTTTCGTGACTGAATCCGACAAAGATAGTGTTTAATTCTCCAAGAGTCTATTAAGTCAACCACTATAGGTAACTTTTTATAGAGTTTATTCGTCTAGGCCTGAATTTTGAATTTATGTTTTACAGTTATGGCCATTTTTATGTGTTTTTAATCTAAAATGCTTTTATGAGGTCATGTTATGCAGCCTTACTCTGTACATCTTGTAAGTTCACTTCATTTGCATTTAATTTACGGTTCTAATAAGTTTTTCGATTATAAAAGTGCAATAATCGTTTTTTATTTTAATTTTGCAGTAACGGAAATGAAGGGAGTGTCTTGTAAGATAATACGATTAAACTCTAGAACATGTCAGAGATCTTCTTTCAGGTGCTTCATAAATCCATTCTACTCATTATGTTATTGTTCATCATTCTCATCTGTCATCTATCAAACAGGTCATAAAAAAAGCTCTTAAAAAAGGTTGCTACATTTTTATGAAGTGAGAGATGGAAGGACGTTGCACTACAACTAACCAGCGAGTCGAACCAGATGCAACAATTCATTGCAATACTGTTAGAACCAGATATAAATAAAAAATTATATATGTTTAGATAGCATATTTATAAATATACCCCTATACTTCTAATATTTACACGTTTCCCCTAAGCTCACGTATCCTCATTTGGGACATGCCGTTTCTCCGTGTCCGTTTCCCCATTTTCCCGTATCGCCATTTTCGTGTCCGCGCTAAGCAACTAGTAACTAAATCATATGTTGATGGCCAAGAGCTCTTTAGAAAACTTGAGACAATTTGTTGACACTATAAGCATTAAAATGAACATGAAAAGTAAAAATTCAATATTCATAAATCTTTGGGTACAAACTTATTTTTACAACAACTAATTAGTAAATTTAATTTTCACACAAAAGTATACCCAACAATTATGTAACAAATTGTTACTATCCCATCTCTTTAGACTTATAGTCCACAATGAATTCAAAAGCATTGTCTCCACTTTGTCTCCCACAAACAAACCCCCACCCCCACCCCCACCCCCCATAATCTACGATGAATGATGTAAGAAAAGATTATAAGAGTTTTAGGTTGTCATGCACTTGGTCTCTACTTCTCTGCCGACCATCCAATGTTTGAGTTCCACGTGTCCAGGACATAGATTTTTGGATTGACACTCACTACTTCAAAGTATTTATCAACCCACAAAACACACATTTACCTACGCACATAGATATAATATATAGTTTTATTCCACCTTAGGAGAAAGTTGAGAGGGAACAAAGTTGAAGGGGTTAGCTTAGAGAAAAGGTGAATTTGTTCCATTGCAAGCCTACAACACCTATTATAATAAGAGTTGGTTTAATTAGGTGGATTGTATTCCAAATATGGGTAATTTACGGCCACCCCTGAGGTTAGGTCAAATTACGAAAAAAAAACCCTTATGTTTGGGTAATTACGTACAACCACCTATCAACTATGAATCTTCTTACACGTCCACCGTACCCTTGCGGTGTCAAATTTAGTGGAATCTTTTAGATTATATGAAATGTTCTCAAATTTGTACCGTTTTATCCCAGTCGAGCTCCACATATTGAAGCAAGATGATCATAAAATGTGTTTTTTGGCTTGTATTAATCAGATTGTGGTGCATCATAAATTGCATTTTTGCACGAAAAGAGTACAAACTAGAGAATATGCCACATAATCTAGAAGATTATGTTGAATTTGATACCATAAGGGTGTACGTGTAAAAAGATTCATAGTTAAGAGGTAATTGTAATTATCCAAAAATGAAGGGTTTTTTTTCTTAATTTGACATTACCTAAGGAGTGGTTGTAATTTACCCTTCCAAATATTTGATCTTTAGTGAACTTATTAGCTTCATGTATTTATAATTTGCCTTTGGATCAAGAAGAAGTGAGAAACTAGTCATTTAGGGGTGCATATTGGAAAGGAACTTCCAATTTCTATCGGTTTTTTGATTCGAAAAGTTTCAATTTTGGAACAATTTTTTTCATTTTGATTCCCAACATTCTGATTTTCGATATTTTCCATTTTTTTGAATTGTAGTTGGAGTTTTATAAAAAAAATATTTGGAATTTTCGATATGCGGTTGTCCGATTTAATTTTCGTAATTAATTCCGAACATTCCAAAATTTTCCCGAAATATACACCAATAATGTATATATTTTGTGTGAAACAAATTATATATTTGCATATTTTTACCTTGTGGGCCATGCTGGAGAGCCGAAGTATTTTCTTTGTTATTTCTCACGTAAAAAAAAAAAAATAAATAAACTAATTTCTTCCCCAGTTTTCACTTTTATCATTTCGAGGGTTTATAATTTTGTGGTATTTGAAACAGTTGCTTACAGACAAAAGAAAATAGGTATCATATGCAATTGGAATCATGATAGTCATTTTTTAAATATTAGTAGTTTTAGTTTTATGATTTTATAAAAACATGTGTTCTTATTTTTTAAAAATTATGGAAGTTTTCGAAACTTTTTAAAAATGTTAAAACTAATCATGTGATTCCCGAAATTTTTAAAATTCCGAAATTTCCATAGATTTTGGAATTGAAATGAATTTCTAGATTCCGAAAAATTTGAAATTGCATTTGGAATTAATTGCGAATTTTCCCAATTATTCATCCATTAATCTTTCTACAAAATACTAAGAATACCAAATTGCCATGAACATAATAAAAACACAAGCAAAAATGAAAATTTAAAACTATTGAAATGGAATGCAAATGATGCACGTACGTAATAATCATTTAAATTGAGGAATACATGCATGTATAGTTAGCTTGACGACACCATTTCAATATCTAAAATAATAAATACACGACGCCTTTTACTAAATGCATGATGCTTTTTTAAATTCCATTTAAATTTGAATTTTTTCGTCACATATAATTGATGAAATAGAGGCTTATCTTAGCACAAACAGTTTTTTAGATGATTTTGTTGGATTTAACCACAAAAATTTACAGATCCTCCAAATCTGATAAATTCATTTAATTTTTGTATGATTTATAAAATGATATCGTTAAAAACTTACACGAAAACTTTTTGAAAGAATTATGTTTTTGAAATAAAATATCACATGTTTACCAACAATTGTCATGTGATATAATTGTCAAATCCCTTAGAATATATATTGACAAAATGCAAGTAAAAATATGATAGAAATGAATTAATTAATATATATCACATGGTAGCAAATTGGCCAAGGAATGATAATTTGTTGGATAAGAATGGAAAGTCCCTCTTGTTTAAAAAAGAACATAAATATTCAAGTTTGAATATCCCTACTAAAGTTTGTCTTCTTTTTCTGCACTTTTTAGAGAATACACGTAATCAAAACAATGTTCATGTGCAGTTGACTATTTACACTATATATGCATAATAATTTAGCCCAATAATAAATTAAATAGTTGCAATATAATAATACCTTTTGGCTGTGGATGCATCAACTTTGCATGAAAATATGGGACAATTATTCACCCTTCCCACTGTCAACCAATCAAAATTCAAAACATATATACATAAACTTCATCCAAACATTAGTGGACACCATTCAAAAATATTATGATACACCGGATTATTTATACTAGGCAATTATTAATTGTAGATCTGTATATAATCACACATATTCATGTATATGTGTGCTTACTGAGAGATTATTTAACACCATTCACGGTAAATAATCACCCACTGTAGCATAAAACTTTCCGTGCAAGGACATCGTCTATCTTGACCAAATAATGTATAATGATTTCGGAGTTTATTCATTTGTATACCTTCCATTAGAAATATTTTCATGAACAAGAAATTAAAAGAAAATACTATATCCATTATCCACCATTCAAGCAACTTATTCACAAATTTCTTATATATGTTGATGCACTAGTGGAGCCAGAATTTTAAGTTTGAGGACCGAATGCATTAAAAAAAATTCTTAAAGGGCCGTTAATACTATTGTACACAATTTTTTTTTCTTCATATTTCTATATAAATTATAGGGATTTCAGAACTGTTGTGGGACCCATGCATGGCTCCCCTCTAACCCTATGCTCCACCATTGTGTTGATGTTACCAAAATATCAATTGGACAATAAAAAAAGTCTAGAATTGTCATCCACTCAAGTTAGAAACCAATACGAAAATATAAGAAAAAAGCTTTTAACTAGAAAATTAAATCAGCATCGACAACTTGAAATATTAAAATAAATTAAATAAATAAATAAATGCATTTTAATAATGTATTTATTTAACTTTGTTTGGTTTATTAGTTCAAAGACAACGTGATGAAAATGGTGCGGCCACGAGATAAAATAATGCTACACAAGTCAATGATATAATCATTGTAGAGATATATTATATGCATCCATTGCGGCAATGGTAGATTAGAGCAATTTTATAGAATATTAATTTTCTTTAAGTTTAGTTTAATTAAAGAAAAGAAATGGAAAAGAAGGCCAAATATCAGTAATAGTCCTCAGTCTTATTATTTAGTTCCACTTTACTCCCTCATAATTTTATTATCTCATTTCATCCCTCAACGGCCAACGCTATAGTTCATCCCACTATAGTCCTTTGATTTATAATTTGATTAACTTTAACGAAATCTTTTATTTCGTGGATGAAATATTCTATTCTTGTAATTATTTTTTAATAAACCATAAACAAAATAAGAAGAATAAAAGAACATAAATAATCGAATTAATTTTCAGATATTAACATAAAATCTTCAAAAAACTCCGGTTCAGTTCGACACGGTTTTACCGAATAAACACCCATATTTAAGAGATAATTAGTGAGTTGAAATAACGTTAGAGACTAATAGTGAAGTCATATGGACAAAATGAATCTAAATAACTATTTGTATATTCATATAAATTAAAATGTTGTATCTTGAAGTTATATTTTTATAAATTATACCATTCTTGGTTGTAAATATTATTTTTAAATTAAAAAAATAATTATTTAGTATTTAATTTCATAATTTATCAAAAATAATTAACAATGCAATATCCCATCCAATCTTGATGAGATTTCATTAAAGATAACAAATTTATACACCAAGGGACCATACTAAGATGAATTTTAACATTGAGGGATGAAAATAAAACAATAAAGATACGGAGGACTAAAATGAGACTAAATAATAAAATGAAGGACCAAAACAAAAAGTCTTCTATTGGTATAGAAAGATAAGGAGATGAGGCAACTATGTCAAACAAATACACTCACATATGACGATGAAACCACTTTGCATTTGGCTGCCCTTTTTGCAGGTTGACTTTTGACTATTGAGGATGCGTACATATATATGTATGTATATATATATAATGCTAATATACATATAATATTAATATAAAATAAAATAAATGAAATGGCCAGACTGCTTTTTCCTAAGTCCAAGTCCAAGTCCACTATGGGTGTTTCTGGTAAAAGAAATTTCATTTCATGGGCTAAATCATTTTTTTATTGGACTCCATGTTTACATCATCATCATTTTCCAATTCCAATTAGGAATATGCTTTTTTTTCTTCCCACAAAATACAACTAGTAACTCACCCGTGCGATGCACGGGGATTAATTCAAAAAATCAAATTGAATTAATGTAGAAAATCAACGAAGAAAAAATATGTCGAGAATGTAAAGAATACAATTGAACAAAAAAATAAAAATTCGTATATTAATTTATCAATAAAAAGTCTGTATAAAAAATAAATTGACAATGTTCTAAACACCATCAACATTGAAATGTAGTAAATAACTCCAAGACTGAAATCAAAGTAATGCACCAGTCTTGCACATGAATCTGAATGTGG